CCCACCCCCACCCGCCCAAAGGATTGACTGTCAAAATCTAACAGAATCTTTCTGGGAAGCCAAAGTGGCCCTAGATCAGTAAATTATTTTATTAAACTTTAGTCTTATCTGGCAGGATGTAGAGGTACAAGAGTTTATTTCTGGAGCAGGTGATAACATCTTCCCAATGAAATCTTGTTAAGCTTCTGTGTAAAATACATGGTTAGTGTAATAGCTGTCTTCCAGCTAATAGGATCCCCTGTGTCACAAAGTTGTGTTTTTATAGCTAAAATCTAATTTTAGTCAAATTAAAGGGTTATATTTTCTATTTTTATGAAGAGATTTTAGCAGAAACTGTGATTTACAAGCAAATTATGTTGTTCATAGACATCATTTCTTGCATAGACATTCTGGGATGTTGAAATTAAATTGTAGAGCATTATGTCAACTGGAATTTTATGAAAATAAAACTGTAACAGAGCATTACTAGTCATATCTTAAATAATCTGTTCATGTAGATATGTTATGCAGGCTTCTTTCTTAAACATCTAAAGTAAAAAAGTGAAATGTAGCTTGTATTTCAAGCTCATGCTCTCTCATTTTTGTTAGAAGTGAACTTTAGAGTTCTAATCGGCCACATGTTTTTTGTTAACACTTCAGGATTTTTGTCATCCTGCTTAATGTCTGATGGAAGAAGTAGTATTTTAATGTAGTTGTTTTGTGGAAATAGGAGACTGCAACATGTATCTTCAAAACTAATTTTAAATAATTTTTTTGGCTGGAACTATTCTAATGTCAGCATACAGAAACATCTGTTGCTATGTCGTGGAGAACTATCAAAGTGTAACTTGTTCCTTTTTTAATGGATTGTGTATAGGAATTAACTGAAAGTACCTTTCTGTAAACAAGACTTAATTGAGGGGGAGGTGGTTTGTTGTTTTTTGGTTTTTTTTTTAAAGATAAGATGATTTGATTTATATAGTGCCCGGAATAATAGATTTTATCTTCTGATTAATTCTTACATAAACTCCGTTACAGGAGTAGTTTTGTACTTTGCCACTTTTTGTGTGCTTATCTTCAAATACAAATAGATTACAGAGAAAGAAATTGACACTGCCAAGCAATATAGTACTGCTCTATGTTTAATATCCACCTTAACATACATTTCAGATAGTTAAAAATAACTGACCTTTAATTTTATCCTGATAGCAGTTTCCTTGCAATCAGTTACAGTATAAATTTGCTTTCCTGTTTTTTTCAATGTTTATATAAATTTAGTAGTTGGAATTAATTTGTTTTTACTAATTAACTTGACCTTTTAAACCCTTGTATTTTGGCATCAGTAGGGTAGACATTACTCTTTTTGATGTACAAAAGAGATTTGGGGGGGAGAATCAAACCTAATAGCAGATATTTTTGCCTTCATATTTCACAGTTAAAAACAGAGAAAGAGTTGAAGTCAATGTTTGCAAAGTGTGAAAGCAATTTAGACCTCTATGTTGTAATTTTAAAAGTGACTTGATCATTTGGATGTCCAAATATCTAAGTAGTTTTTGAAAATTTTGTCCAGGATGATGCAACTTTCTGAACATTCTCTCAAAATTCTTGTCCATTAAGTATTCTGTAGAGTGTGATAGAAAGTGCCAGTTGTTGAGGAGTTTCCTGCTGTGTACACCCTTTCTTAAAGTTTCAATGAATCAAAAATCGTATAACACATTTGTCTCATAATAGTATGATCCTGTGATCTTTTTATTGTCTTTAATAGCAAAACTTTCTTGTGTATCGGATCTGAATCTCTATACAGAGAGAAATTCTTAGCTAAGCAAATGGAAGAAGATACCCCAGGAGAGAGAAATGGATTTGGTGTGAGGAGATGCTCTACCCAGTACCTAAGGTGTTTGGCCCTAGTGTCTAATGTCCATATAATGCCCTGAAAGATTTTGATGTACAAAATTTATTTTAAATATATAATGAAGACTGCCATACCCTATGATATCTTCACACTTTCCCTTATAATACTACCTTTCTCAGATTTTATATAATAACTAAGATATCTCTTGTTCCATCTTAGGTATGCTTATTTGTTATGTTTTTATTGTTTTGGTGCTTTAATGAAAAGAGATCTACTGAAAGATAAATGTTAAATTCTGTAATGTCAATGAGAAGTAATGGTGTGATTGATACTGATTAGGAATACTATTTGCTGGTATTAACAAACAGGAATTAAAGGACTCCCTGTTAGACTGGGAGCAGTGTCCTACTTCTACAAGCAACTAAATGACATAATTCTCATAAATGCAGCCTCGTTTGTTTTTTTGTTTCTGAGGTTAGAGTTACACAGTCTCCATTCCCTCATCATGTAATTTCTTTTCTGCATCTCTCTTTTTGGAATTTGTGAAAATTGTATATATGTGCATGAGGGAGACTAAGGACACATACAGCATTCACCTTGTGTTAATGCAATTTTACTCCCAATCTCTGTTTTGTAATACTTCCTTTATTTTCATCAAGGTACAGAAACAATTACATTTTTGAAGTTCAGTAGTTTAGTAGTTCTCAGCTTCTGCTGCAAAACTTTTATTTCATAATATGATTATAATTCCACTTAAATGCTGAAGTAGACTGACACTGGGAGAAGAGTGGGACTGATTGTTCTATTTAACAAACCCAGAATTCAGCCCTTTGTTTGGTTTTAGCTTTTAATTTCTACAGCTACTTCTCTTCTCTTTCTTAGTTGCATATTTGAACCTGAGGGAAATGCATGCAGCCTGACAGATAGCACTGCTGAAGAACATGTCCTGGCACTAGTGGAACATGCAGCAGATGAAGCTCGGGATAGGATCAATCGATATCTACCCAACAGCAAGGTCTACTGCACAACTAAGTTCACAGTTTGATTTTGTGTCTGACTATTTAATGCTTTGTTTCATCTTAGGAAACAGGCTTTAGTACTACATTCTTTGAAACTAACATCTAGAGTGTATGCTCTGTGTGGAATACCAATATGACTATTGTCTATCATTTAGTACCCATGAAGCCTATTGTAGGGTGTCCTAAATGGATCTCAAGTTGCATTGTCTGTTGAACATCTTTAGAAAGTAATTTGTAGAAAACAGTGAAATGTTGCTCAGTCTTGAATCTGGCTTCCTTAATTGCAACCCTTAGCACTGAAAGTGTTTAAAATAGCATCACACTCTTCTTGTTGTTGCAACCTCAGAAAAAACAAACTTTAGCATAGATTGAAGGGTTATTAGGATTTCACCCCCTCCCACCTAAGGATTTCAGGAATTTTTAAGTGTTAAATTGCTGTTTTCAGTGAGAAGTCCAGAACCTCTTGTAGTTTTGTACCTACAAGTAGTAGCTGTCAGCTATAGCACATTCTTTGCGTACAAAATACAGACATCTTCAGTGACTAGGAGAAGATAGCAGTAGTTTGTACATGTGGAAATTTTGGACAGCGCTAACCACAGGTTTGATCATCTTGAATGTGATTCTAGTACTGTTCCATGTGTTTGGGTTTTGTGCTGTTCCTAGAGTTAGAAGGAAAAGCTCAGTGATACCATTAGTGCAGTTTTCTTAGCATAAACTCTTTCTGGGCTGTGTTTTTCTTAGCTGTGTGATAATGGTGGATTACTTCATGCTAGGGTTGGAGTGAATGCTACAGTCATTTGCTACAAGCCTGTGTTGAGATATGTTTACTCTATTTCTGATGCATCCTGTGAAGTCTTACTACCACCATTATCCTTTGTCCTCATTTCGCATTGTCACATACTCTAGTGACCACTGCAACCAAAAATAGAATCAGGATATTGCTACATTCTGCATTTTCCACCTATTTTTTAACAACTGTTGTAGAAGAAACATTTGCTTTGAAGCATTAGTGGTAGCCATTTTGTCTTCAAACTTAAATGTCTATTTCTTGGACAATGGCCCGTGTTATGCAGTTACCTTAGGCTCAATTGGATTAGGAAGTAAAGCCTCAAAGAACAGTGGGAGAAGTTTTAGCTTCTTCAATATACTTCTGTTTCTTTGGATAATTGGAAGACTTGCTAGGATTGAAGGCTAGTTGAAACCTGCAAAATATGAGTGGCTTTTGAAAAACCTTTTAAAGCAATACCAATCTTCTGCTAACTGCTAGCTTTACCAAAAAGGTGTCTCATGCTGATGCAGTCAGTTTTGGAGCATTCAAGGAAGACATGTTCTAGGTGTACAGCTCTTAATTATCTAGGCTGTTAATCAGGTAGACAACCTGCTGCAGATCCCACTGAATCTAGTAACACTAACACGTTCTTAGAGTTCAGCTGTTGTTAACTTTTGCTATCACTTGAAGATATTGTTCCTGTTCATTCTCTTTCCAGCATATCTCACCTCTGTTTTTATTATGTGCCAACATTAGCTTTGGTCTTACATATGGAGAGAGTTTTAAACTTTTTGAGCAGGAGGGGGGCCGAAAAATAGGGAAGAGATTTACCGTTCAATTTACTTGGAAGTATTTACTAATATTTCTTTAGGGAGAGCATAGTTTTAATTTTCTGTCTTTACTGAGAAGTTACAGTCTTTTTTGCATGATACATGCGTAGTCAGTTTCTGACATTGATATAGTTTGTTGCATTAGTTCTATCTCTATCTTTACAGATCCCAGCGTGTTCTATTGTCTTTTACATCTCTGGCTGTCTTTTTAGCATTGTGTTTGTGTGCTCTAATAGGTTTGTCACAGCACTTCATCCTCTTTAAGAATTTGATAGTGTGTTCATAAAAGTATTTCTCATTAGAGAAAGTTGTGGGTGAGATAGGAAAACAAGCAGTTCAGTCTAGATTTGAAAATAAACAGTGAGGTAGATTGTGGATAGGAGTAAACTGTGTTCTAGGCTTGGCAGTCAGAAAGCCTGGCTCCATACTAATTATAATGGAATTGGTTTTGTCTTGGATGCAAACTTTAGATCTGATTTAGGAAGATGAATAAGGAGTTGTATATATGACATACAGACTTTTACTCCTAAGTCTTCTGTTCTGAAGCATTTGCTAGATGGTGATAAATTGTGACACAAGATTCTCTGTATTAAAAAGGGAATACCAGAATGCAGGATCTGAACACAGCTAAAAATGCTTTTTATAGTTTTCTGTATAAGTAAGCAACTCCTTCTTTGAGTTTGGACTGTTTTGAATGATTGCTTCTATATCTTCATGGTTCTATTTACAGATTGGTTATCTGAAAAAAAATGGAGATGGAACTTTATTATTTAGTGTAGTAAATTCATCTGATCCAGAAGCAGAAGGTAAATGCCATAATCTTTCAAGCAAACATTTGTAATGTTGAATGTTTTAGCAGATTTGGAAGTCTTAACTGTATATACAGGTCCTGCGTAGCATAGACGAGGTTGTTTTTTTAAATTAAACAATATTCCCCAAACCATTTTCCCCAATAGCTGTATTTAGTATCTCCAATATAAGATGTTTCTCTTTGTGTTTCAAATTTTCACTCTTCAGATGCTCTGTTTTACTGATGCTGACAGTAAGAAGGAAAAATAATATCTACTTATAAGCATTTATACATGGCTACAACTTTATAGAGAATTTGGAAAACAGTTCCAAGTACCCTATTGTGTTAAAATGTAATAGACAAAAGGTGAATGAAAGTGCTGTAATCCTATGTGAATATGCAACGCAGAGATGCAAATTCACAGTCTTTTATCTTTTTTTTTTATTTCCTAATTTAAATTATTAGCTAAATTTCAGTTTAAGTTAATTAGGCTTTGTTTAATTGTTTTTCTTTAGTTCCTTGATGTTTTCTGTGGGTTTTTATTTGTGTTACTACTATACATTATTTATATTGTCTTGTGCTTTCTGCTTGTTTCAGTTTCGAGCTCAAAATGCAGAAGTTTGTAATGAATGAAATGTCATAGTCTTTATGCTGCTGTATGTCATGTTGATTTAGCACTTCTTCTCTGCAAGTTTTTGAGATTCACAGCTTACCTATTGTTGCATTGATGAATTCATGAACCCTTTTGATAGTAACATTTCTGTTGACTTTTTGATTGGGAGATACAAGCCTGTAACTCTATTACTGTCTAAATTCCTTTTGCAGTAATTTTTTCTGAAATTAAATTGAGCATTTTGGCTGCCATCATGCCCTTACCTATTTCTGATAAAAATTAAATAATAAAATTAATGTGATTTAATACCTCTGAAATCATGCCACTGAAAATTTAGATAGTGATGGTAATGGGAGCAGAGCAAGTTTTCTCTGTGTACTATAAAGTACTGTACTGCTTCCTGATGTTTCTGTGCCCCAGAATCTTTTTTGATTGTTTGTATAGTTACTACTAGTTACACTGAATTTACAGTTAATAGTATAGTCTGAATATTTGTTATAGTTTGTTGGGGTGTTTTAATCCTAGTAAGGTTTTAGGGATAAACATGCTTTCTGTTGTTCAGTAGTTGAGCATAATTACCATTAGATTCCATAACAGCCAGAGAGATTTGAAATAACCGGAAGTGTCCTAGATGCTGTTGGGATTTTTTTAAATTTAAAAGCATATTCCAAATTATTTGAGCCATTTTAATTAACCAGTTCTCAGAACTTTAGAAGAAAGACTATTGCTATAGCCATAATGGTGATTTTCTTAACAAGACATTTTATGCGGTGTGTGGATTTCTGTAGACAAACTACCACTTAGTCAACAAGAAATTGCCTTTGTCAATAATATCTGGATCTTGAATGTTTGTGAATCAGCTAGTAAAGAATTTCAGATGCTGCTATATACTTTAAGAGTGAAATAACTAAGCAAGCCATAGGTCTTGTGAATAAGAGATGGAAGCATAGGTACAGCATGTGTTTGAAATTTAAATGGACAACCTGAATTATACTACTTATCCTTAATAAAATTGTACAGATCAAAAAACATTTAGCCTTTATGGTAACTGCAACTTTTTAAAATAGCAAAATTTAAATATTCACCATAAATAAATTCTAAATATGAAATGCTTTCCGAAAATTAATATCTTATTTTAAATCAAATTATTAGAGGAGGAGACTCACCCAGTGGATCTGAGTTCACTGTCAAGCAAATTGTTACCTGGCTTCACTACACTGGGCTTTAAAGATGAACGAAGAAATAAAGGTAAATGCCAAAGAACGTGTTTTAACTTTGTGTTTTGTGTTAGTGTTATAGCCACGCTAGAAGCTTTCCAGTAATGGTACTCCATTTTCTCTCGAGGAAAGACTTTTTCCTGAGCAACTGCACTTAGAGTTGAAGGAAAAAAACCCCTTTTGGTCATTTGCATTTTTTATCATATGACAAGGATTTCACAAACTGTGGATTTTTTTTTTTTCTAGTATTATTGACATTTTTAATAGTTTCTAATCTGCTCTCCAGAAACTGATTGGCAAACAACAGTGAAGTAGACACACACAAAAAGACGAAATATAAAAGGGGGTGGGGAGATGAATCTTTTTTTCTGGGAGTGAAGTGGTTAACTTCTTTATTTTCCAGTAGTATAAGTACGTTTATTTATATGGTTAAAGTAGTTGTGCTGATTCTAGAGTCTAGAAGTGTCCTTGAGATATTGTTCTTGATTTCAATTGAAAGAAAAAACACACTGCACTTTCAGTACCTGTTTCAGAAAACAAGATTTATTTTTTTTCCCCCAAGTGATCTTTTACACTTGTGTTAATCGTTTATCATCTCTTCCTTCTACCTGTCTAGTAACCTTTCTTACAAGTGCTAGTACAGTACCTTCCATGCAAAACAACTCTATATTTCATGATTTGAAATCAGATGAAATGGAACTCCTGTACTCAGCATACGGTGATGAAACTGGGATACAGTGTGCCTTAAGGTAAGTGCCTCCTTATTAGGAGGCCTAACTTCTCATAGCAATTTTATGAAAAGCAATTTGGACTAAATGTCAGTTAGGAGCCTCCAAATCCTGATAACGTTTTTCCAAAACTTATTTTAAAAATAACTCACTATAAAACTTGAAGCCAGCTGTCATCCTGGTTGTTGGTGGTGGGTTTGTTTTGGGTTTGGTTTTGGTGGGTTTTTTTCCATTTGCACATTTAAGTTACCTTATTTTACTGCAAGGCTGTTACAGATCTTGTGATTAGGGTCTTTGACTAAATGATATTACAGCTTGCTAAAGATTTAGCATTTTGCTTTAAACCCAGCAGTAAGTAGGTTTACATATGCAACTAATAGGTTTCAGTGACTTTAAAACAGTGATATTTTTCAAGGATTTTCAGAACAGATAAAGCTACTTGAAAAGGAAAATGACACTTTTCATTAAATTTTTCCTTGGAAGGAAAGAATTAATCACAAGTACCTTTTTTTTTTTTTTTTTTTTTTTAAACCCACTACCAATGATAGTTCCAGTAAAAATTTGCTGGTAGCTGTGAAAAACAAGTTTGCATATACCTTTACTTCCATTTAAAAGAAAAAAAAAATAAAAACCCTGTCTTGAAGGCCTTAATTGCTTTTCTGAAGCAGCATAGAAGAGTAAAAGAACAAAGAAAATGTAGGTGTCATGCACCATAGTTGGGGAAAACCATATTATAACTTGAAATATTTTTTTTAAAAGTAAACATTTTCTGTAATGCTTATATCTCCATTCCTACTAGCTTACAAGAATTTGTGAAGGATGCTGGAAATTATAGCAAGAAAATAGTAGATGATCTTCTGGACCAGATCACTAGTGGAGATCATTCCAAAACTATTTATCAGCTAAAGCAGGTGTGTCCTTGATGCACAGAAATATCACAAGCTCATCAAACAAGAATGGACCTGATTGCTTTTTAATATTGTATGAGATGTTTTGTTTTCCACTGTCAGTTTAAGCAGTGCAGGCTTAGCTGTTCATGCAACCATGCAGCGAACCAAATTAGAAACTGAATTAATCAGCAGAGAAGTAATCTTTTTATTTTCTCCAGCTAGATCAGTTCTCCAATGTGGTTCAATATGTGTCTGCAGAAAGGAAGAGGTAGGGGAGCGCAATGTAGCGGGGGGGTAAGGGACCAACGAACTGAATGTTGGGCAGCCCTGCCACTCAATCTCATGACTTATGTATCTGCTTCTGAGTTATATTGCAATGCTTTTGTTAAGGATTTTTTTTTCTTAATTTAAATGCAAAATACATTCCTTGTGGAAGGATTAATTATTTGGAAGATTGAAATAAAATGTTGGAGAATATATTAATATTGCTGTACAGGTATCTATTACCCAACAGTGCTAACTTTTTAATTCATGTAGTATGTCCGAAGGAAAAACTTTTAACTTATTTCCAAAAGCACTTTAGCTAGGAGATTCATACTAAGATTAGAGAAGAGATTTTTCTCAGAAGCGTATATAATTCTAGTGGGAATGTTTGCATTCCCAAGACAAAATAGACTACCAGAAATTGCAAAATCTTGTTTCATGTTATCTTCACTCTGAAAGCCACTGTTAGTTTGAAATAATTGTCTGCTGTTGAAAAATGATAACATTCTGAATGATTCAAGAGTAAGGAAGGGGGGTGGGGCATGGATGGATGGATGGAAGGTGTAAGGATTTCCTGATATGGTGGAACTGAGATTATGCTAAATCTCTGCAGACTTAGAATAGAATGGGTGATGTTTGGGGAAAAGGAGACAATAGAATGAAAAATACAGAGGATACTTCAGAATTTTCTGGCTATTGTATATGAAATGGGAAGAAATGTAAAGGATAAATTAAAAAAAATTTGAAAGTTCACAAAGTTAAAAATTAATATTTAGAATATTCTTCTACATCTAGAAATATGTATATACCACATGTTGAACTTAGCTTTAAAATAAAACATGTGCCTTTTCCTTTTTGCCACATTGTTCTATGAATATTGTTCCAAATGAGAATTTCTGAATACCTTTTAAATGGTCAATGGCTATTGACACTTAGAAATGCTGTTCAGTTGTGACTTATGTGGATATGTACAGATTTTGTGCAATTAAATGTGTTTCAGTGATGAGATGCCATGGTGTTTTATGCTTGAGTATTTTGTGCTGCTACATCTGAGTAAGAATGAATATCTCTGAAAGTACAACCTTTAATTATTTGGAATCAGAAGTTACTGAAGTAATGACTAAGATAGTGCACTTGAATATAAAGTTCATGGGTGGAAGAAATTGTGTAAGGGGACTCAAAGTTAGTTAAAATGCATAATACTGAAATACTTCAAAATTGTAACTGTTACATTGTAATTGCATTACAGATATGCGAAAAAGTTAGCTGTCTCTAGCCTCGTTTTGTGTGTGAAGTTTGAATTACTTGAAATTGTACAACACAGAAGTCTTTCTCTTATGTTGAATAAAAGTAATTGTTAGTATTCTTTCTTTCCAGAGGCGAAACATCCCAGTAAAACCACTGGATGAAGTTAAAGTAAGTTATGCTGATGCTCGGCAAAACCTACTCAGTTTAAGGTTTTTTAAGTGTCTTGGCATTTAAAGCAGAGAAAGTGATGTTCTCTGGGCTTCCAACATTCAGATTCCTAATTTTATTTAACATGCATCTGTTCTGTATAATAATAGAAAAAAGATTAATAAGTGGAGTATGTAATGAAGAAGAGACTGTTAGGTTAGGCCTTAAAGAAGCTGTCCTGGTTAGTTCTAAATTGTTTACGTGAATGTATATAGTCACCCATTAGAGAAGAGCTAGTCTTTATTTTTTTGTAAAGCTTTTATGCAGACATTACAAAATATGATAGTATTCTGTGGTGGCCGAGAATCTGATCATGATAAACCAATAAATTACACAAACTAAGAGTATTCTTAGGAAACATTAGTATAAGCTATGAAATGCTAAGATCCAAAATATAATTTGGTTCTTTAGGTTCTGCCGGTTCTCATTAAAGAAGAACACAAGTTGCGTAATACCTGTCCGGATTCTTCGAAACAGATTATGGTAAAATGGTTGGGGGGCGGGGGGGAAGGAGTACTGAGACATTCATTTTGTTTCTGTGCAAGGATTTGCATGCTGTGAGGTAGAAGATTAAAATCACAGTACGTAAAAATAAGCTTTCAGTACCTAAAGTGGATTCTCTGACACTCAAGTCTATTTTAGTTAGTGGCTTTGTTTGTCCTATTGTTCTGTATTCTCTAGTTTAATTCAGCATGCATAACTAAATTTCAGGAGCAGAAAGGCCACTTTGGAATCTGAAAGGTACTTGATCTGCTGATGAATATTTGAGGTTCAACCTAAAATGTAAAAGTGGAAAAAAACAGTAGTATTTATCAGTTTTACTACATCCATTGAAAATGTCTATTAGAAACTAGGGGTAAATAATGCATACCTTACGCTTTTACAACTACTAGTCACATCTTTCTTTAAGTGGTACAAGTTTTTATCTTGCAAATTATTGTGACAACAGAAAATATGCACTATAAATATTCCTTATATTTTGTGGAAAGGTTTGTATTTCTTTAGAAGATGACTGGTTAAGTTAATTCATGAAAGTGCTAAGTTTCATTTTCATATTTCTAAAAGATAATACCTAGTTGCATATTTACCTACATGTCTTATTCCTCCCACTGGAATAGGCAATCTCAGAGAATTCTGTTAGAATGTATTTTGAAGCTTAACAACTTTTACTTTGATCTCTTAATTTTTGCCATTACGTAGCAATATTGCAACAGGTATGGAAAAAATGAAATTTTTGTAGCACAGGCTGTATTTCATTGTCCAAATGTGTAGAAAAAATACTTGAGAGATCAGGTCCAGTTGATACTGTGTGTAGGGAGGCCCACCTTACTGGTTTTATTAGTCTTACTAAAAATTTCAGGAAATCCAGTGTTGCAGAAGGTGAGGGAAAAGGGGATCCTGGGAGTGGTTCATGATGGGGATATTGATAATGCTTCCCCCTCGCCCCCCACCAGGGTTCTGCCATGGGACAGGGATGAGCAGAGCATGTAATTAAGTTTCAGAGGATTCGGTAATGTTGTTTTCAACAGTCCTGGATGATGAGATGAAAGATATTTAGACTACCCTGCAGATCCCTTGTCAGTCATATGACTGGTCTGTCCTGGAACCATGTTTGAGCTGCCTGTGAGTTGCAGGTTAGCCAAGATGGTTATGGATGCTCCAGTCTTTAGTGTTGTGGTGTATCCTTTGAGAGTATGGATTCATGTGTTTACCTTAAACATTAAAAAGTTATTATGACAGTCTTTCTGTTTCTTGTATTTTAATAGGTTGGAGAATCTGCTGGAGACAGTAACACTTCTGACTTGGACTTTCTCTCTATGAAACCATATTCAGATGTATCTCTTGATATTTCTATGTTAAGTTCATTAGGTAAGTAAGTAAATATACAAGCCATGAATTATGGCGTAGTTGTACCATTTAGGCAAAATAACAGCTGGATTTGCGAAGAATAAAACTGTTCAAAAAGTAGTAATAAGTCTACATTTGACATAGGTAAAAGTCTAGGGCTGGTTCAAGATAAATGAAACCTTGGTCTGTTTTTTCCTTTGAGACATCCATGTGCTAGCCAAGCTACCTTTTCGTGTACTCCTGAAGAAACCAAAGTATTTGTACCTCACAATTTTGATAGCTTTGCCTGGTTTTTATGTGTTCATAGTAATGTAAATTTTAAGAATCAGCGTGGAGCTTTGGCTCAGCAATGTTGTTGCTTCATATGCTGTCTTTTGAAATAACTTTGGAAGTAGGCAAATATGTGAAGCTCAATCATATCACTACTTGGAATGTCCCAAAACAAAAATCAGAAGAAAATTCAGGTGTTGGAAAGACTTTAGCTTCAAATAAGGCAGTTGTATGAAAGCATTAGGATGTTGTTTCAAATACACATCTTTGATAGGTATCCTTCTTTAAATACTAGAAGTAATGTTCCCATTTCTGCAGGCTGCTGAGCTGGTCAAATGTCTTCAAAAATGTCATCACAAAAAAAACCCCCTGCTTATGGTTTAAGATGCTGTTAATTCAGAATGTGAAAGATGCCAAAATATCTATTATAAAACATAACAAAGGTAATTGAAAGCTTAAAGAAAAAAAAATTTCTACACATTTCTCCCATAGGTGCAGTATTTTTGAAAACCACTTAAAAGCTCTGATTATGCTGTCACACAATAATTTTATTGCAGTTCAATAAAAAATTAGTATCTGTTTTATAGATAATATTTAGACATACCAGTCTTACTATGAACTTCTTGCTCCACTGAAAGCTGCTTATATTTTTCTTCTTTGATCTTTCTGTAAATACTAATATACTTCTAGATTACTTAGCTTCCAAGGAGAGTTTATGGCATTATTTCTTACCATAATTCTTGCAAAGTTAGCAAGGTCTACATTGAAGACAGCCCAAAGAGAAGCGAAAGAGTATGTTTTCCTGTTTAAAGTTGAGGGAAATTTTGTTAAGTCTTCAGGTGAAAGAACAGTGTATGTTGGTACATACTTCCAGTTCTTTCCAATTTCATAATTTTATTTGGCTTACTTTAAAATCAGTGTAGCTGGAGAAGATAGAGGTTGTTAAAACCTTCTGATGGGGATTTCTTCACCTCCATAAATTACATGTTCTATTTTAACTGTATTTTAAGTTATATTTGAGTAATTTTTCTCTTTAATTTCTCTCCTTTGCTGCAAACTAATTGTATTATTTCATGTCTGGAGTTTAACAGATGAGGAAGACAAATTGAGCTCATATGGTTGTTAAGTTAGTTCAGTTTCAGCCTATTCCCATGGCACTCTCCTTCATCCTCCAATATCACAAAATGCATTTCAATATGTATTTCTTGAAACTGAAAACAGATCTGCAGCTGTTGCCTTTTAGAAGTGGAAAGGAAAATGCAAGATTGAGGTTGTTTGTGTAATAGACAACACTTGTGCTAATTTAGTTTAGATTTTTTTTTTTAATAGTGACTTGATAATTCATGAGTCAATCTGCATGTGCTAATTATGTGTTTTGGTTGGTAACTGGTGGTCCCTAGGGAAAGTGAAGAAAGAACTTGACCATGACGATAACCATTTGCATCTGGATGAAACAACTAAGCTGCTGCAGGACCTTCATGAAGCTCAGGCTGACAGAGTGGGATCCCGGCCATCATCCAATTTGAGTTCTCTCTCCAATACCTCTGAAAGAGACCAGCATCATCTTGGTAAAGTTACTTGTGTCACAGAATTTGCAGCATTTCTGCTCTAACTGAAACTGGTTAAAACTTACATTTTAATTTACATAAACGTTTGCATGAAATTACTCTGATAAAACAGTGTGCTGACTACAGGATATGCATGGCAAAGGCAACTAAGACGACATACTTTTGACCTGTGGAATTAAGGATGCTAACTGTGGTGACTTATTTTTTTCATTAGGCATGATTGAAGTAATTGTGAAGTAAATTGATACTGACTGGCAAATCATTGTATGTACTTGCATTTTATGCTCTTAGAAATACCAAGGAGTATATGTTTATTTTACTTTGGCATAGTTGTATGCAGCAAGTTACAGGTGGGATTCTACAATAGCCTTCCATTGTCATAGAATCATAGAATGGTTTGGGTT